TGGTTTGATCCCTGGCTGATCCAGTTTGCATGCCAAATATCCTTGGGCAAGATACTAACCCGAAGTTGTTCTCTGATTCTTCCATCTGGCTGTGTGAATGTTAGATAGAAAACACTTAAGCATGGGAAAAATTGCTGGTATGAATGGGTGAACGAGGCATTTTGTGCTCAAGTGCTTTGAGTGTTTAGGTAGAAAAGTGCTATATAATAAACAGTCAGTTTACCATAATACATAAAAACAGTACACCGTTACACAATTGCAGTTCTGGTACACAACATTCCTTTGTCATAAAGCCGACAAGTCTTCCAGCTAAGTTGCATTGGTTGTTAGTACCAACCATCTGAATTTCAGAGGAGCACATGGAGTGGTGATAGCACAAATACACGTGCCTTTATACCACAATACTAAAGTTGAAGTCTCATGTGTTTTTGTTTGGTTTGTTTTTCTTCTTCTTTCTCCTCATTATCTATTATTCTACTCATTATATATTATTTAGTAGACAATCATTATTTAATTTTAAAAATGCCCTTTTACAGTTTACAAAACCTAATTTTTCTGGGTAACGAGTTCTGACCCATCCAAAGGCTATGACACCAGCTGAGATTTTACATGCTCTTATTCACATAACTGCATGAGGGCACTTGATTTTTAAATGTTAGTAGTTGATTTTATTTTGTTGGTAGTTGTAATACAATGACAAAAGATGTACCCTTAGGCCCCCTCCTCAATTCAGAGATGGTTTTCTCTTTTCACATCACCTCCTTGACTTGAAACAAGAAACCACTGTGAACTTGAAGGCTCGTTAAAGTCAGTGCTGTAGTTCAGACATTTGCTCTGCTGCTCTGACTGTAATGAAGTGAAGCATGTTCAGTCCAGTAGCTGAAGATGAGACATTGAAATGGTCTTTATAAGAAACAGAGAAATGTCACTGGTCTGTTCAGTCACTAACTAATTACCATTACTCTGTTTTTTTTATGAGTATTATACTGTAAGAGCAACAAGCTGGACTCTTGTTCAGCTCCTGTGCAGAGGTTATTATTAAATATGTGCAAACAGCAGCATCTTTTCTCACTCTCCACATCTGTAAGCACAGTAACACCACATTTAAAAAGCCTACACTTCAACAACCCCCCCATTAACGGCGGATTTAACATAGTTTTAACGGAAGATGAATAACTGAGGACTGAAAATGTTTCTGTAGTATTGTTCACTCAAACTGCCCGTAAAATAAGTTCCAGGTTCTGATATCTCAGTTTGTCACTAACACAGCTTATGTATACAAAGTAAAAGAAGCTGGATTAAAATAGCAGTGCCTAATATTTATGTAGTCAAAATCTATGTTGAATTTTTCCTTTGATGAATTTTACAGCACAGATTCTGTAGTTTTATTTATAGATTTTTTTAAAGAGTTTTTTTTTTACCTGAATATTTGAAACCACGTTTGGATTATTCTTAATGAGGTATTGTTTACAACGTTACATGTGCAGTGCTCTGAGGAGCTACCCTCAGATTCAGACCTCAGCATCACTCAATTTTCCCCAACAGCACGTAATAAAACCCGATGGCAGGTCAAAGGTTAATTTGTATGTTGAATTTAAAAGTTTTATCTGGAATTCTCTTACTGTGCTCTTCTGGGAGTGTGTTAATTTAAGGTAAAGTAATTCGGTCATTTTGTACCAGAGTAATCAGAGAGGAAAATATAATGTTTAATATATATATATTTTAAATATATAACTTTCTACAGGACTGCATAGAACATTATTATTTAAAAGTCAAGAGCCTCTGTGCATTATGCAGTCCCGGTCAAAAGTTTAAAAACATTTGAAAAATGGCAAAAAATCATATTTTGCATGGTTGGACGTTAACAAGTTTCCAAGTTGAGCTTCAACATGCAACAAGAAGAAATTGGAGTGAGACAAAACATTTTTTTGAGCATGCAATTTATTGAAAACAACCCTTAAACTGAAATATGCTGTTTTACCACTGATGAAAAGTTTAGGACCACGTGCTCAAAAAAAAAGGCATGTGGTCTTAAACTTTTGATCAGCTGTAAAACAGCCTGTTGCACTCCCATTTTCTTGTTGCATTTTTTTTCTTTTAGATGTCGAGACTACCCAATCATTGCCCGACTCTTAAAATCTCCTGTTTCTCTTATGTTTTGTCCATCTAGCCTCTGCCTCTGTGGTTCCTGTCCCAGGAACATTTTCATGGCCCCTAAGCCCCAGAGGGAAGCCCAGGAGGGGCATGCTGCGGCGGGCTGTGTTCTCAGACCTCCAAAGAAAAGGTTTGGAGAGAACCTTCGAGAAGCAAAAATATATTAGCAAACCAGACAGGAAGAAGCTCGCCAGTAAACTGGATCTTAAAGACACCCAGGTACACACCACATCATGGTTTTGGACCATTACTAACACTGTGATTTGACATTTATTTATTCAGTCATGGCCATGAGGAACCTTGTACAATAGTAAAAAAAAAATTAACACTCGGTTGATTATATTTTTGGAAGACATGCAAAAGTTGTCTGTAAAGGTTCTCAGTCATCCAGGGCATTGTAGTCTAAGGAGCTTGGAAAGAAAAACATCCGGAGCATCTTCAAGAAACTTAAAGAAGTCCAGATGCTTTTCTTTCCAAGCTCCTTAGACTAGATGCCAAAGTCATTTTCTTTGGAATAGTGATAAAGGTTATGAGATGATTACAAATTTCAGTAAATGGTATTTGTGCTATTAAAACATGTTTATGTGGGAACAGTGGTTCAAGTTCTAGTTTTAGTAGTTTTTTTTAGTTATTCATTTGACACTGTATAAAATAAAAACATGTATAACAATAAATCTTATCCCAAGAAGTTGATTCTGTTCATCTGGACGTAGCGTTTTCAGTGGGAGAAACTTTCATCATTCATCCAAGTGACTTCTTCAGTCTCAGCTGACTGCAGGTTTCCCCAACCTTTTAAACACTGCATTTGCATAATGACTGAAACTAGCACCAGTGGCGAACAATGGGCTGTGAGGTCAGTTCCTTGATCAATAATATGCAAATTGTTATGACCATTGATCAATGGTATATATTGATATTTCTGAATAATGCAAAATGAAACTCATAGGATAATTCTTATAATAATCACAATAATGAAAAAAAATGTGTCTGTGAAGGTTCTCAGTCATCCAGGTCATCGTAGTCTAAGGAGCTTGGAGAGAAAAGCGTCTGGACTTCTTTAAGTTGCTTGAAGACCTTTCACCTCTCATCCGAGAAGCTTCTTCAGTTCTAGGGTCAAATGGTGGAAAGTCCCAGATATAAACCCCATGAAGGTGGCTCTTCTATGTTGTGCCATGCACTTGTGAAGTGGCTGTTTTGTTTCTCCAATGTAGAGGTCTGGGCATTCCTCGCTGCACTGTACAGCATACACCACGTTGTAAAGTTTGTGTTTTGGAGTTTTGTCCAGAATGCCCTGACTTCTACATTGGAGAAACAAAACAGCCACTTCACAAGCGCATGGCACAACATAGAAGAGCCACCTTCATGGGGTTTAAATCTGGGACTTTCCACCATTTGACCCTAGAACTCAAGAAGCTTCTCGGATGAGAGGTGAAACGTCTTCAAACAACTTAAAGAAGTTAGACTACGATGAACTGAATGACTGAGAACCTTCACGTACATATCTTAGATATGTACATATTTTTCATTTCAGCCTGAATGCAATCAAAACACTGCCAGGGTCATGCTCCACCCAGACTCAATGTCTGGGTGGAGCATGTTCCACACCTCTATTGCCAAGGAGTTGCAGCTGCACTGTTGCTAGTGACTATTATTGTGATAATCTGAGAATCAGGTGGTGGACAGTGGAGGTGAAGGGAGCTTTTAGGCTGAAGAAGGATTGGGCTTGGTTAGACTGTGGGTCTGTAGAGGTAGCTGCAAGCTAAGTGGAGTTCAGCTCTGGCAGTGGCTGATGCGAAAAATCAGATGTGGGAGAAGTTTCGGTAGACCATGGAAAAATACTTTTGGTCGACCTCACAGCAATTCTGGCAAACTTTCAGACAACTCAGAAGGGGGAACTGGTGCTCTACTCACACTTAATACAACTGTCCTGGGGACGCTACTGACCTCAACTGAGGATATAGTAAAGTGGTGGAAGAAACACACTAAGGATCTCCTCAATCCCAGTGTCAAGATATGTGTAATAGAAGCAGAGTCTGTGGATGAAGGGGAATAGTGGCCTCTTACTGGGAGTGATGTCACAAATTTAGTTGATCAACTGCTCAGTAACAGGGCCCCTGGGATAGATGATGTTGGCCCAGACTTCTTTAAATCTCGGGATGTTGTGTGGCTGTCCTGGTTGACATGTCTTCCCAATGCTGTGTGCAGGTCTGAAGCGGTGGCTATGGATGGGCATACTGGGATGTTGGTCCCCCTTTTTAAAGGAAGGGTACTGGAGGGTGTGCTCAAATTACAGGGAGATCACATTCCTCAGCCTACTTAGAAAAGTATTTGTTCAAATTTTAGGAATCTTGGGGTGTTGTTCATAAGTGAGGGTAGAGTGAAGCATGAGACTAACAGATGGATTGGCTCTGCACAGGCTGTACTAATGTGTTGTGGTGCAAAGAGACCTTAGTTTAAAGGTGAAGCTGTTGATTTACCAGTCAGTTTATGCTCCTACCCTCAACTGTAATCATAAGCTCATGAACTCGGAGAGAAAGAATGAGGTTGTGGATACAAGTGTAGTTTCCTACAAAGGGTGGCTGGGCTGTCCCTTAAGAGAAGGTGAAGAGTAGAGCAGCTGCTCTTCCACATCAAAAAGGATGATTCCTTGACTCCTCCTAGGTAAGCTGTTTCAGCCATACCCTACGGAAAGGAGGTCCTGAGGCAGATCCAGGTCTCGCTGGAGAGATTGTATTTCTAGACTGGCTGTGAAACCACTTGAAGAGGTGACTGGGGTTATGGAAGTTTAGGATTCTCTGTTTAAGGTGATTACAAACACAAACCCAGATAAGTTGTAGAAAATGGATGGATGTACAGTACATAATAAATAAAAAAACCTATGGTCTCTCCTTTATTTAAATTTCTTTTAAAGTGGTGTAGGTTCTCTCCACTGTTGCCAACTATTTGCTCATAGAATATTATCTGCTCAGGGAGAGTCTGTTATCTTTCTGGCCTGTAGGAGGGTGAGGGGAAATAAATCAGAGAAAAGAGAAGTACGGAATATGGTTTGGTTCTTGTCTTTGGTTTGCTGCTACATATGAAAAAAAGTAAACATTAAATACTGAAAGAGCAGGAACTTACCAGCTGGCCACCATTAGTAGTTCAAACTTGAATCACAGAGATATTTTCTACTTGATGTTAACCTATTTTTTGTGTCATGTGAAGGTGAAAATCTGGTTCCAAAACCGCAGGATGAAATGGAGAAACTCCAAGGAGAGGGAGCTGCTGTCAACGGGCGGCTGTCGGCAGCAAACCCTCCCCACCAAAACCAATCCCCACCCAGATCTCACTGATGTGGGCAGCACGTACAGCCACAGGCTGAGCAGGATTGCACCGTACAACCACGAGTCGCATCTCTGTTGTCATCATCGTAACCCTTCGACTCTATCAGAGTCAGGCAAACAATCAGAACTGTCACAGTCAGACAGTGAAGAAATCACAGTTTTATAAGAGATTCAGATTAATGGAGTATTCCTAGAAGATGATGGAAGTAAATGAATTAGCTCTCCATTTTGCCCTCTATTTTTTGTACAGTGTTGTGTATATTACCTTTATAGCATATCTGCACACACTAATTAAAGTATACTGAGCACTTTTAGATTTAATATTTGTAGGTTTTTTTTTAACTTTAAATATACAAAATGTTCTTTCATTCATATTTGTATTTGTTGTATTCTCTCACACACACAAAAGAAATAGAAAAATAAAAAAACTCATCTAAAATGTCATGCAGGTGTCCTGTCTACCTTACCAAATTATGAACACAATGCCAACAACACAAAGAAAGTTGGAAAAACAATCCAAAGGGTTTTTAAAACAATCTGCTCTATGATTCTACTGTAGAAGCAGGTAGGTTGATTCCAAGGAGAGGGAGGGTAGCAGAAAATTACACCACAACAGCGAACAATCAATATGTGACTCCAACATTACTGGAGGGCGAGGCAAAGAGTAAGCATCTGGTTAGATACCATATTTTAAAGGTTATTAGGGCCAAGTACAGTATCCTCAGCTTTATCTGAATTTAGAAGCATGAAATTAGAGGTCATCTGTTCTTTATGCCTTTAAGACATTCATGCAGTTTAATAATTAGTATGGTTATTTGGATTAATGGATGGGTAAAGTTAGGCTTATTTTGAATGGCAGTGAAAATACATGCTATTTCTAATGATACTCACTAAGGGAATCATGTATAACATAAATTACTCCTAGCACGTGGTTGGTGCAAGCTGGTGGACACCAGAGGTGAAGGGAGCCATCAGAGAAGCAAAAACTTGGGTGTTGGAGAAAAGTTTTTCTATGGCCTAAGTAATTGCTTTGAGACTTTCGTAAGGCCTCAAAGCAATTATGGCAAACCATCAGGTGACTCAGGAAAGTCCTGCTCTACCAACATGGTGGAGTGTTGCTGACTTCAACTGAGGGTATTGTTAGGTGGTGGTAGGAGTGAAGTCGCGGAGGCACCTAAACAGCTCCTTGGTTGCAGGGCCTGTAAGTGGATGAGTTCCTGAAGCTTGGGTGTTTGCCCAACATCCCTACATGCGTTTTGTGGACTTGGAAAAGACATTTGACTGTGTCCCTCAGAGTATTCTGTGCAAGGTGCTTCGGCAGTCTGGGGAGTCTGGTTTTTTTTGGATGCGTGGTCCTAAACTGTTAATCAGCTGTACAACAGCTTGTTTCAGTTTAAGGCTACGTGTACACTAATCTGGATAAATTTGAAAACGGCTAAAAAGGCTCCGCGTCCACACTATCATTTTCAATCGTTTCCGAACAGTTATTATCCACACCGAAACGACGGAAAACGCTTACATTCCTGTTTTGTGCATGCATGAAACGAAGGACAATTCGACCTGCGTCATTTCTGTCTGTTGTTTATTTACTTTCCGGCTCTTTGAAAGGTCATGCCAAAATGTTGAGAAAATCACCGAGTTTTTTAAATGGTCTGACAATGAGGTGGAGTTGTCGCTGCGAGTAACACAAAAGTACAAAGTTGCAAAAGCGAGTGAGAGTTAAAGAATTTGAAGAAAAGCTATCTGGAGCATGTACAAACTGATATTAATCTTGTCTAGTGCTGTCAAATCTGAGAGCAAACAAAACAAATGCAGTATAATGCCCTCCGCTGTCTTAGTTTAATTGGTCACATGACTGCATCATTTGACTAAAATGCGTCATCGTTTCCGGAAGCCTGTGGTTATGCAGTCCACACTGTGATGTGAAAATGGCATTTTCAAATGTATCCGCTTTGGAGAGCTCAGTGTGGACGGAAGGCCAAAAAGGAGAGAAAAATGATGTCTTTTCAAATATAAACGTATTAGTGTGGACATGGCCTTGCTGTTTTCAATAAATTGTATGCTCAAAAAATGTTTTCTCTCACTTCGATTTCTTCTTGTTGCATGTTGAAGCTCTCCTTGGAACCTTGTTAAGATCCAACTATGCATAATATGATTTTTTTGCCATTTTTCCCAGTGTTCTTAAACTTTTGATCGGGACTGCACAATCTGTGGAAATGAGCTTTCTCGAAGGGTAGGCTGGCCTCTCCCTTAGAGATAGGGTGAGGAGCTTGGCCATTTTGGAGGGGCTCAGAGTAGAACCACTATTCTTCCACATCGAAATGAGCCAGTAGAAGTGACACTGACAAGGATTCCTCCTGGGTACCTCCTGCCTGAGATGTTCTGAGGATGTCCCACCAGAAGGAGCCTCCAGGGCAGACCCTGGACACACTGGAGAGATATCTCTTGGCTGGTGCATGATGTAGTGACTGTTTCTTCTTCAGTCACCTTTTTCACTTACTGTGTGTTTATACACCACTTTAATTATTAATTATTATTTATCTCTTGCTCTATTCCTTAGTTTACCTATTCCTTTAAAAAGCTCACGTTTAACTGTTCCCTTTTAACTGGTGCTTCTAAACTGGCTGGTGGCATAAATGTTTGTTTGTAATGTGTGACTCTGACCCTGTAACAAGCTAACAACCTCTCCAAGGTGTAACCTGCCTCTTACCCTATGACTGTAATAGTTCCAGCGACACTGTGACCATGAATTGGATATACAAAACAAAAAAAATGGATTTTTGTGAACTGAATATGCTGGACTTTACTGGACACAATATGACATCAACATGGATTTCTTTTTTCCCCCAACATTTTATATAATATACAATTAACTGATCATGAAAATCATTTAAAACTAAGAATGGTATTACTTAATGAGACACTAGACACTAGAAAAGTAGCCTGGCTTTACCTATGATACAATTCAAAAGTCTGTATTTTTCCAAAGATGTTGTTTACAAAGGATGTACAGAATACATTTGAAAGCTAAGGATGGATAAAAATGTATGACCTTTGTAAATAAAATACAAGAATTTTTAATATTTAATAAAGAACCTGAAACCAGCCCTCTGTAAAACATTTCATGAACATAATGTACAAAGCACATGTCGTGTGTCACTCTGTCTCACTGGGAGGATTGACAGCAGATCCTTGAATGATGTCTCTGATTCTCTGTGTATCCACCAACAGCGCTTCATTATTAGGGTCAATCTTCAGAGCAGCAAGGAAGTCTTGGAGCCCTGAAATTCAATTGTAGGTAGATCAGCTGAGACCTGGACACCTTTTGAGTCACTGTAAAAAACACGCTCCACATATTTGCCCTTACCCTTGCCCTTAGGTAGGACAAAGTTACTGTCATGCAAGTTACAACTCAAGCCTTGAGTCATGGCTAACAAGTTCTAAGTAAAGTCCGAAACAAATCACTGAGTGCAACACATCAACTTATTGACATTTTAAAGCAACAAACCTTCTGGATAGGCCTGCAGCTCGCAGAAGGCAGATCCTCGACGGACAAAAGCTCGAACTCTGGCAGCTGCATTGGCAGGGACTGGTGGAGTCAGCAGATCAAGTGCCTGCAGTAAAAAAAAGTGGGCAGATGTTTACTGTATGCTATTCCTCTGGAAAGTAAATAAATCTTGACCATTCATTGTCAGAGTTGGACCATCCAGAGCATCTGTCAGTCCACCTGTGCAACAAATCCAGTTGTGAAATTTTCTCGCTGCTAAAGTCAATGTTTGTGGTTTTATAACAAAGTGGAAGCCACTGGGAACAACAGCAACTTCAGCCACAAAGTGACAGACCACGTAAATCAACCGAGCAGGGTCAGCCGATACACAGAAGTTCTGCAGAGTCTGTTTATTTACCATTAGAGCAGTGGATTGGTCTTTTATATGTTCCACTGGAGCACTCAAAGTGCTTTACACAACATGCCTCTTTCACCCATTCATAAAAGCAAATTTTTTTACTTGAGTGCTTTGTATCTAAGATTCACACACTCATACTCCAATTGTCATGGTCTGGCAGTTCTCACCGGCAGACCTGCCCGTTGTGTCCATGTTTGTTGTGTTTTTTGTTCTCCCTCCTTTTCCCCGTTTCCCCGTTATGTGTGTTTATGTTGACGTTCGTGCTCCCGGAAGTTTAGGATCCCCAATGATCATTAGATCCAAAAGTGTTCCTGCTGTGGAGGCAGCCACACCTGTCGCTCATCAGCTGCCGCCAGCTGCAGCTGATTGAGAGCGTCCTAACAGTGTGGCTGGATCGTTGAGTTTACCTCATCAGTACAGCCGTGGACTTGCTTTTGAAAAACCTCGCTCTGGAGATGGATTGCCTAGCTAACTCACTGTGTTTATCTTCACTAGGAATCGGGAGCAGAGTGTGTTTTCACAGGAGCAGAGTCACGGATTGCATGGGAGTTTGCCATTTCACTGTTCACGGACACAAGCACTGTGTGGGGATTTTGAAGAAGATCACCTTGCCGGGTATATATACTTGTATATATTTTACCTGTTGTTTTTCACTGTAAATAAATTCACTATTTTCTCTCAGAAGAGTCCCGTGTTTGGGTCCGGATCCTACCTACACCCTGACCCCATTGGATGCTTCAGAGAATACCTTGCGGTTAGTATCTTGTCCAAGGATAATTGTCATGTAGACTGAGGCAGCCAAGGTCCTTCTGAATAGTAGATGGCCTGGTTTACCCCCTAAACCACAGACACCCCTTCTCCATCTGGCAATCCGATGGATGAGTTTTGGTTTGTGTCAGCAGAACAGTACTTGTCTGACTGCAAGTGTAAAGTTTGGTGAAGGCGGGATTATGGTGTGGGGTTATTTTTCAGGTGTTGAAACTCTTAATGCTTCAGCATACTAAGACATTTTGGGCAATTTCATGCTCCCAACTTCATGGGATGGTTTGGGGATGGTCCCCAAGTGTTCCAACATAACTGCACACCAGCACACAAACCAAGGTCCTTAAAGACATGGATGAAGGTGTTTGGTGTGGAAGAACTTTATAGGCCTGCAGCGAGTCCAGATCTCACCGTACAGAACACCCTTGTAATTAATTAGTGCAGAGACTAATTCTTCCTAGGTCTACTTATCCTTGTGCTGACTCCCAATTAATGTCTGAACTCATAAATGCACTTTTAAAATAATGGTCAAAAATTTCTATAAACACACTCCTAAACATTGTGGAAAGCCTTCCCAGAAGAGTTAAAGCTGTTATATCAGCAAAGGGACCTTATCATCATATCAAACCCTATG